TTGTCTTACTGAGACAGGGCCTTGCTCTGTAGTCCAAACTGGCCTCGAACTCCCAGTGATCCTCCTGCCTCAGCCTCCTCAGTGCTGGGATTACAGGTGTGTGCCACCACTCCCAGCTATTACTGTCAATCATACTTCAAATATAGTTATCATCTTCATTATCATTTTGTAGATAAGCCAAAGTCCCAAAAGTTAAGCAAATGGGATAATTAGTTACTGACCAAAATAAGTACATAGCCAGGAGTGGTAGCACACACCTGTAATCCCAGCATTTGGGAGGCTGAGGCAGGAGGATCATTGGGAGTTCGAGACCAGCCTAGGCTACAAAGTGAGTTCAAGGCCAGCCTGAACTGCACAGTGAGAACCTGTCTCAAAAAGACAAAAACAAAACAGAACAGAATAAGTACATAAATAAAATGAAGCCCTCATGCCACCTGTGGGAGATGAAGGATTTTTTCCGCTTCTGTTCACACAGCTTTGCAATGCGACTCTGTAGCACCCCCAGCTGATGCGTGGAGTCTGGCATTTACCCTTTTGAATCTGGGCCATGTGATTTGTTTTGGCCAGTGTGTCGTTTTGGCTGTGGCCAATATATCTCTAGAAAATGTGAAGGAAGCTCTAGCTGTTATCTAAAATGTCCCCGCAAAAGACTCATTGTGTTGAAGGTGTGGTTGCTGAGGGGCTCTTCAGGGAGCTGGTGCATCGTGGGGCTCTGACTTCATCAGTGGGTTCATTCCCTGGGAAAATCATAATTTGATGGCACCACTGGGAGGCGATGGAAACAGGAGCTGGGGGCCTGTTCTTTCGTTGTTTTTTTTTTTTTTTTTTTTTGTCTTTCTGAGACAGGGTCTCGCTATGCAGTTTAGGCTGGCCTTGAACTCACTTTGTAGCCCAGTCTGGTCTCGAACTCGCAACAATCCTCCTGCCTCAGCCTCCCGAGTGCTGGGATTACAGGTGTGTGCCACCACGCCTGGCTTGGGGCCTGGTTGAAGGGACTTGGTCGTAGGGGATGTGGCCCTGGGGACCATATCTGATCCTTGGTCCCTTCTCTTCTGCTTCTCTCATCTTTCTGCTTCCCGGCTGGTCTGAAGTGAGCAGCTTTCTTCCACCCTCCTGTTCCGCCATGCTGCTCTACCTCACCTTACGCCCACAGGAATGGAACCAGCTGACCATGGACGGACACCTCTGGAACCATGAGCCTAAGTAACCACTCCCTGCCCTATGTTGACTTTGACAGGTATTTTGTCACAGTGATGCAAACCTGACTACTACAGAAGCAAGGGGTTCAAAGGTACTTACGTTATTACTATTTTTTTTTTTTTTTTGAGACAGTCACACTATGTAGTTCAGGTTGGCTCTGAACTCACTATGTAGTGCAATGACCCTCCTGCCTCAGCCTCCTGGGAGCCGGGATGACAGGCGTGCACCACCATGCCTAGGTAGGGTGGTTTGTTATATGGGAAAAATAATGGATATGCCGCTTTTCACTAC